GCTTTTTTTGAAATTAATAAAAACCAGAAACAAAAATTAAAAATTACATGTTGCCTCTGACGGTATTCGAACCCGAACATGCTGGGAGCTAAGAACTAACAGCGAGCATCTCTACACGTTCAGCTACAGCCAGACATGCAAATGTGCTTTCAAATGCTCAACTTCAATCACGTTTCGTTAAAACACGAGCAGTGATCGGATAACAAACAATAAGCTGGCGCAGAGACACGAGTTGGTCCACTACAGCATGACAGAGGAAAACTTTTGTAAGTACTCCAATTTACCACAAATAGACTACATGGTCCAACGATTTTTGCCGGGTTGTCTGCGCTTTTCTGTGTTCGCGCGATTTTTTATTAAAAATTTTAGCCTGCGGCGCTTTTTCCATAAAAATCAATTTTTCGATAAATAATGAAAATTTTTAATAAAAAATCGCGCGATGGTATAGCGAAATTTGCTTTTATATTTTGGTTACAATATCTTATTTAGATGAAAGTAAAAAGAAGAAGAAGAATTGTATAGTGTAAACTGAGTATAATAGCGCAAATGAAATGTGAAATTAAGTGGCAATACCAGCGATCGAACAAATGCAGTTGGGCTCCAAATCTCAAAAAGCAAAAAAAAAATATTGGAATCGATAGAGATGATTGAGCTGAGTATAACAGTATACTTCTTTTTTTGGGCAAACAACAACAACAAAAATTATCAAAGGTTAAAGTTCAAAATAAGCAATATTTGAAATCAATATTTCTGAAAAACGGATGGATGTATCTTGAAAATTTTGATCTCATTTAATAGGAAATTTGATTCCCTTTATTTTGGTATACGTACTTTATATATATGCTGTATAATTCTTACAAAAATTGAATTAATGTAAAATAATTATAAAAAAAAGCTTACAAACCCTTTCTGTGTTGCCAAAGAAGGGGGGCTGAACACCTTTTGCAGAGAACACCTTTCTGCGTAGGCGGCCTTCGGCCGCACTTAGGGATTATAACCCTCAGGCAGTAGAATTCTCCTTTCTGTTTTGCGAAGAAAAGGAGCTGAACACCTTTTGCAGAGAACACCTTTGTATATTTTTAATGCTTACTGGGTTATATCCTATTTTGTTTTGTCTCTCATTCTTTTGCATATTTTGGAGTTTGACAGCTGAACTCCGCCATTTAATTTGCATATGCAACCAAAGTCAGACGCGTGATTTTGAAGGTGTTTTTATTTAATGAATTGTGATGAATTGGTTAATATTAAAGTCGTAAAGCAAGTTATAACAAATCAAGTAAAGTGTAAAGTGAAGGGAGATACAAAAATATATTGGTGAAGTGGCTAATTTAACCCTCTAGTAGGCAGAACCGCCTCCAGACGGTCGTTAACTAAATACCTTTTTAGTGCACCTATAATAATTTTTTTCTATATTCGTAAGGCACGATCTTTAGACAAACATCGTACCCTTACGGCGAAGTAAATTTTAATCCGTTATGTCAATCCGTTTTATTTTAATCGGCAGTTGAATTACAGATTTTGAAAACGAGGTTAAAATTAATTATTTCTTGCTATTTAGTAATTTCGTAATTAAAGAAACTTTTTCTTTTGAAAAATTTTTTGATATAAAAAAATTCGGTGGATTTCGTTGTTAAAAGCACCGTATTTTAATATAAGTTTTATACTTATGTCACCATTCGAAATGGAGAAAATTGCTTTCGAACACAGACCGTCTACAGACCGGCTTGCCGACATATAAAACCCCAGTTTTGCATTTTTGACCGTCTGCGGACGGCATTGCTGGTTCGTAGGTCAACATTGTGTAAGAGAAAGCTGAAAATATCAGCCTTATTCTGTATCTCGAACGTTAGGCCGCACGAACGATTCGTCTGTAGGCGATATCGTCACGGATTGCAAGTTTGTAACTCTGTCGTTCGTCTTCGTCTTGCCTTTACGTCGATTACGTTGCTATCGTCTCGGTTACGTTGAATGATGTTGCCGGATGTAATTTTGATGTACTTTCAAAGATTTTTTCTTAGATTTCTAATATTTTCAGCTTATTTCAATGCTTTTTATTTTAAATGGGCAACATCGGAATTGTTTACATTTTGGTTTTGCTTAAAAGTGTTTTGGTTGTGTTGCGGAAAGAATATAAGGAAAATCTATTTTAAAAAATGTATGCTGCTATAGCGCTAATGGACGCCGAGGAATCTGAAGAAAGGGAAAGGCGGATACAGAGGAGGAGATTACGAGACCACACCAATGTAATGGAACTACCTGAGACTGAGTAAGTTCAAGATTAGCCAATAATTTTTGTATGCTACAATGTATTCTTTTTTAGATTTGTTGCAAATTTCCGAATCAATAAGGAAATATTCCAGTACATTTTAAATGAATTACAAGAGCATATGGCTCCATCACATAGAAGCACCCACCTATCGCACCAGCTGAAACTCGCGACTTTTTTAAGATTTCTGGCCACCGGCAGTTACCAAAAATCTGTTGGTAACGAAAATATTTCGTCGATGGGGCAGTCAACTGCAGCCAAAGTGATTAAGGAGTGCCTAACTATTTTTGAGGACCACTTTTGCCAGAAATGGGTGAATTTTAGGAGAAACAACGATGAGGAAAATGCTGTTAAAGAATATTTCTGTTGTGTTGATGGAACACACGTTCGTATTAAGTCGCCAGGAAGTGACAACCACCATCTATACCTCAACCGCAAGGGTTTTTACAGTGTTAATGTAATGGCGGTAGGTTAATGATATACTATCTTTACAAGTATACATATACACAAACTGAGTTTCCTTACAGATATGCGATCACAACATGGTCATTACATTTGTTGACGCTAGGCATCCAGGGGCGAATCATGACTCATTTGTTTGGAATGTGAGTGTCGCAGAGCAGGAGCTAAAATCTGATTATAACAATGGGAAAACCAACACATGGCTACTTGGTAAGTTTTAAAACTTAAAAAGGCTATACAATTATTGATGATAATGAAAATTTTTGTAGGTGATTCTGGTTACCCCTTGCAGCCATACTTGATGACGCCATTCAGAAGCGCAGCCGATGGAATTCAACGAAATTACAACACAAAGCACTCGAAAGCTCGTAATGTAATTGAGAGATGTTTCGGTGTTTTGAAAAACCGATTTCGATGTATAATTGGCTCGAGAGGACTACATTATTCACCGGAAAAAGTAACACAAATTGTAAATGTGTGCTGTGCTATTCATAACGTTTGTATATTTTTCAATCATCAAATTCCATTGGAGATCCCAGATATGGAGAATCTTGTTAGTTACGAAGAAGAACTTGAAAACAGTAACATTTCGAATACAGCTGCCCTTATTAGAATGAGAATAGCAGAGAGTTTGTTATAAACGCAGTTTTATTATAAAGTATGTGTGTCTAGATTTCAGGTACACTAGCAAAATTCCGTTATGTCTTAAAACTAATAAAATATTTACATACAAATTCAACAAAATATATTTTCAGTCTTAAATCTTAAATCTACATAAATACTAAAAAAATTCAACAAAATGTTAATTCACTTAAATTTAAAAAATTTTTACACAAAAAAAAACAAAATATCTTTTCAGTCTTAAATCTTAAATCTACATAAATACTAAAAAAATGCAACAAAATATTAATTCACACTTAAATCTAAAAAATATTTACACAAAAAAACAAAGTATCTTTTCAGTCTTAAACCTACATAAAT